TGTTTTACTCGACATCTCCCAAACTACTGGTCCGAATTCAATTTTTTTTTCAAAATACTCGTGTCGTTACCTTCTATCAAGATTAGTCGAAATATGTATACCCGTCCATAAAAAGTTTTCGAGATTTTCGCGTTTTTCTTATTTTTTCATTTGTGAGTTGATGTGACCTTCTGTAGTACATATAAAGCTTGAGATGAACAACTGTAGTTCTGGCTACTAATTAACAATATTGAATCGTACTTATGTGAAAAATTTTGCGTCGATCGATTCATTACATATAAGTATAGAGCACTTCATCAAAAAATCTTTTTTCTTGAAAAGTCACATATCGTCATTTTATTGGTGTTTCTCGCTTGTGAATGCTTATTCTTGCTTGTTTAGGTTATTTCGATCCCAAATAAGGTCACAGTGCTCCTTGTTTTGCTTCCGAATGGAACCATTGTAATCGTGCTGTTTTCACATTTTCTAATTTTGATTGGAAATGATATAGAATGGTCGGAAACGTAAAAATACAAAGTTTGGCGACCATGTCTATCGGTGACAGTGTCCATCGCCACCTTTTCGGTGGTCAATTTTTGGAAAATTGAGTAATTACTTGACTAAACTTATTCCAAAAAATCTAAAATTTTGACAGATTATATGTGCAATATCTTAAAAACTACGCAACCGATTTCAATTTTTTTTTCAAAATATTTGCTGTGATGCCTTCTATTACAATCAATCAAAACCTATATGGCCGTTCATACAAAGTTTTCGAGATATTTCCGTTTTTCCGTTTTTTTCATAAAAATCCTTGTAATCACTCTAGCTTGTGCAAAAATTGAGATATCAACTTGAAATTTGGACAGAATCGTCCTCTCATGATAACAATCCTTTCTATTGAAAATAAGCTCAATCGCATGAGTAGTTTCCGAGATATTCGAGTTTCTCTGAAAACCTTTTATGTGCAATAGCTTAGAAAATACGCAGCCGATTTCAATTTTTTTTCTCAAAATATTTGTTTCCATGCCTTTTATCCGAATCAATCAAAATATATATACGCGTTTATACAAAGTTTTCGAGATATTTCCGTTTGTCTGTTTTTTCATCAGGAGGCAGTTATTTCCACTGACATTGTTGATATCTAATCTGAGCGCGTTTGGAGTTTCCATTTTTTTTCGTTCTTCTATAGAATTACTACAGATCCATTCGGAAGCTTACTACCAATGGAATTGGTAGAAATGAAATAAAGATAAAGAGTTATAACACATAAAGTAACGGTCAGATGGCTTAGGCCAAAAAAGCTCGAACCCCTGCTTGTTATTTATAAGATTTTGAATTGATTGCAATTCGGTGGCACGTTGAACGGCAGTTTGAATAGGGTCAATCCTTTCGGAACGAAGAGTTATCTCGATCAGAGAGTCTCTGAAACCAGAAATGAATTGTAAACATGCGGAACGATCACGAGATTTTTCATTTTCGTCTAAATACGAGAAACGGACAAGTCTTTCAATTCCATCCGCGTAACTTTTAAAATCTTCATCCTTCTGCTGTTGACAGGCCTGAAGTTGATTGAAGTACATCTGCGAAAATTTTTCTTCACCGAAACGTTTCTCTAATTCTTCCATCAATTTATTCAAATCGTTAATGTCGCATGGGGTAAGAGTTTGCAAAATATCCTGAGCTCTACGGCGTAAAAATGTGACAAGATGTGAAGCCATCTCATCATCGTTCCATTCATTGTGGGACGAAACGATGAGAAAATGTTTATAGAATGGAGTCCAGGAGGTTGAACTATCATATTCGGTGATCTAAATCCAATTCTGACGCGGAATTGACGAATTTCCGATGTTCCTATTTAACAAAACCGAATTATCCTGTCGATTAACGGGAAAAGGATACATTATATGAGAATTAAGATTGAGAGATGAGGGGAAAGAATTATTAAGGGGAGTATTATTATCTGCATTCTCCATGGTGGCTGAAACACTCCTCTGCATATCTCCGACTGTTCGAAAAATTCTTGTACTCATTTCTGTATGTACTCATTTAGTACATGTATGAATGTACTCATTTCGAATAAAAATCCTCGGATTTCCACAATTGAATTCAATCTGTCAGCTTGACGAGGGGTTAATTCGACTGCATGATGGTTTGTTTTGTATATAGCAATTACCAGACAAAATTATCAAAAAATTATCATTTGAAAACCCTGTAGCTTGTACCACGTGGTGTCGAATAGGCCAATTATATTGCCCGATATTTGAGTTGGAAAAATAATCAATATAATTGAAGAAATACTAAACTATCAGTACAGCTTAAATATAAACATAAATAAGATGAAACTGAAAAGAAATTGAAATCTTCCAACTAAAAACTGGAAACTTAAGATAACAAAAAAAATTGGAGAGAATGATGGAGAAGAAAGAGGAGAAAGAAGAGGAATTTGTGTCGAGCACACAGTCAGGAGAAGGAATGAGGAGAGAGAGTGGCCGAGGAGAATGGAGAGGTGGCAGAGGATATGGAGAGCGTTCAGGATGGAATCGAGGGCCATCATATACAGGAAGAGGTCAAGGGTACCAAGAGAAACGAGGACGAGGGTATCAAGGACAAGGACAAGGGAATCAAAGAGGGATAGGAAGGCAAGGATACCAAAGAGGCAGAGGTAATCGAAGAGGACGATGGTCTCAGAGAAGGGAGAGGAAATTGGCAATAATAAATATAAATTATATTGAGAACAGCACTAACAGATGAAGATTGCAGACTTCTAACTAAAAACTTAAAACGTAAAAAGAAAGCTGACAGAAGGCTGCAAAAGAGGTATTATTAAACAAAAAAAAGTCTTCTGTTTATTTATAGATGTAAGTTCAATACGTTCAAAAACGAAAGTTATTCAATTTAATTCAAAAAAATTTAATTCACCAGTAGAGCTTAAATATAAATAGAAACAAGATTAAAAATAAAACGAAGGAAAAACTAAAAACTTCTAAGTAAAAACTGAAAAGTTATAACAAATAACGGCTGAAAGAAGGCTGAAAAAAGTTATTAATCATAAACAAAATATTCCAATAATCATAAGTTAAATACGTTTAAAAATACAAAAATTGTGAAAGCAAAATTTACTAAATGTAATTTTTCAATAAAGATAAATAAATAACGAGTTATTCTCTATGAATTAATCACTCATTCTTATCACACAAACAGACGCATGCAACGTACACACACACACATACACACACACACACACACGAAAAAAAAGTTAAGTCCTTGACGCACAAACAGAGACACGCCAATACGAATGCACCGCCGAGCCGAGGCTTGTCCTTTTTATCCTTGTGGCAAATAGGGGAAGTCCTAACTGGGTCAGCTTGCTGACTCAGCAGACTGGAATGAAATAAAATAGCTCCCACGGACCAAAAGAGACGTGCAGGGTGGGCTCCCTATAACAGCCTGCATAAAGAGTATCGGGTGGGCTCCCTGTAACAGCCTAGATCAATAATGAACAGTGATGAGAAAACACAAAGTTCCCATGCGGGTATTCCTGGCAAGGTGAATCCCGCCGTCAGTTCCGATCGGGTGCGAGCCCCGGTAGCTGATGCCGGCTCGCACCCGGCATGGGTTGTTGTAGGAGCCAATCATCACCAAATACCTCAAAGGTGGACTTGTAGCTCCTTGGCCTCAGATGCTACAAGAAGAGAGGAGTCGCACACGCAACAGGAGATAGAATGATGTCGCGCATAGGCACGACTAGACAAACAAGAGTTACATGAGTTTGTCCAGCCCAGGTCGAATGTCCGCAAGAGGATCAAATCAATGTGGCCTACATCGGCAGTGCATTCAGATGACTCAAGAGCTTAGAAGAGGCATGTACCAAAGCTCAATCCAGTATCGCTGAAACCGTGCAGACTCCTTTAGCACCATCCACGCTACGTGTACGGACTGACTCCGGAACAACGGCAATGACTCAGAGTTGGAAGATCCGGTAACTCGAGATATCCGGAAAGCACTACGAAGAAGGCGCTCGAAAGGTTCACCTGTGGCAGAAGCTCAAAGCACGAAGAAGCTGAAGCAACAGGAACTGACCAACAAGGCTGCCCACTAGGGGAGACCAACTGGTGATGGTTTAGATTGGAAGCTGGTCGATGCCAAGAAGGAAAGGAAACAAGAAGTGAAACAGCTTCTGAAGCCACCTTCCGGGAAGAAGCAGAAGGAAAAGACACGTCGGAAGGCAGCGCCAAGACCTGACGCTCTGATTGTCCGGCCCAAGTATAAGGAGAAATACTCAGAGATCCTACGCCAAGTAAAGAAGAATGTTCCTTTAGAGCAAGCTCGAGATTGTGTCGACAAGATCCGCAGATCAGCGACTGAGTATATGTTGATCATTTTGAGCAAGAAGACGACCGACTGAGCCCCCCAGATGCGTACAGCCATCGCCACTCTCCTTGGAGATGGAGCTCAGATACTGAGTAAGGGGCCACAAGAGATCCTGGAGATAAAGGATCTCGATGAGACACCGATGAAGGAAGATGTCCTTGAAGCCCTACGAGCAGCAGCCGGAGAAGGGCACGATATCAGTCAAAATGCGGTCCAATCTCTGCGGACGGCATATGGAGGAAAGCAGACTGGCTCTGTGACATTCCCGGGGACAACAGCTAGGAAGATCCCAGGAGAACATGGCAAGATCAAGATAGGATGGGTGAATTGCCGAAGAAAGAACCGCAGTGTGCCCGGTGCACCGAGAACAACCCAGAGAACGACGCCCACATTGCTGGTAGCAGCAGATGTCCCGCATACAAGGAGGCACTTCAGGCGTTTACCAAAACACGAAGATGAGAGTACTACAGTTCAATCTCAATCACTGTAGGGCTGCACGCAACCTGCGTACACACTCGGTGCGTGAGCTGCAGCCTGATCGTGTCATGATCTCGGAGCCATACAAGCATCTCAATGCTCTGCCATGGGAGACGGACACCACCGCTAAGGCTGTCATTTAGTCCTGCGGTACGTACCCCTTCCAAAGTATGGCCAACACAGTGGAGAGCGGCTTCGTGAGGGCTAACCTGAATGGAATTCACTTCTACAGCTGCTATGCTCCACCTAGCCTGTTCATCGACGAGTTCGCAGACTCCCGGGACCGACTCCCCGAGGCCGCGAAGCAGCACTTCCTCATCGCAATCGCTGGGGACTTCAACGCCTGGATAGTCGACTGGAGCAGCAAGGAGAAAACCACGAGGGGTCAAACACTACTGGAGGCCATGTCTTTTTTGGATGTGGTACTGCTGAACAGTGGCGAAGAACCAACTTTCGAGAGAGAAGGGGCTAGTTCAATCGTGGACCGCACCGTCGTAAGCAGCAGCCTTACTCGGGGCAGCGGCAACTGGGAGGTGTTGAATATCTTCACCGCCAGCGACCATCACGAGATCATTTGGGAAGTATCCACTATTCGGAAGACTGGACCAGCACCCAGCAGACCAACGCGGTTGGATGGAAGTCGAAGGCCTTCGTCTTCAACTCATTCCGTGAAGTATTCGACGATCGCCCGATTCGAGGAAGCAATGCCACAGAGAAAGTGCGAGAAGTTATGTGTAGACTCACTGAAGCCTGCGATGCAACTATGCCCCGGAAGCGTAGTGCAAGGAAGCACTCATCGGTGTACTGGTGGAACAACGATATCGCCACCCTTCGAAACGCTTGCATTCGAGCGAGAAGGCAGGCACAATGAGGCCGGAAGAAGCCCCGAGGCCGAGGAACTGGAGACCAAGTATGAGGAGGCACGCCTGACACTCAATAAGGCGATCAAAGGAAGCAACAGACAGTGCTGGAATGAGCTCCTTGACGAAGTCGAAGCGGATCCATGGGGGCGACCCTACGGTGTAGTCATGAAGCGGATGAAAGCCAGCCGATGCCATGGCCTATGTACCCCGAACTCTTGGAGAAGATTGTCGCGGTTCTGTTCCCACAACAACCGGAGCTTGACTTCTTCACTGAAAAGTGCGATGTAGACGCGATCCCACCAGTGACACTTGAGCAGCTGCTGGAAGCCTGTGGCAGATTTGGGAATGCCAAGGCACCAGGAATGGATGGAATCCCGAACATCGTCCTGAAGGTAGCAATCAACGTAGCACCAGGAGCCTTCCTGAATGTCTACAATGGGTATCTTGAGCAGGGGATTTTCCCAACAAAGTGGAAGCAGCAGTGACTGGTGCTCCTTCCGAAAGGGAAGAAGCCTCCGGATGAACCCTCGTTCCACGCTTAACGGCATCAACCTAGTCGCCTCTATTGCACGGGATGCAATCTTTGTCGCAAGGTGGAAGTGGGGCGCGAAGCAGTACTGTCTGGTAGTAACGTTGGACATAAAAAATGCCTTCAACTCCGACAAATGGGACTGCATCATGGAGGCCCTGTCAGATATGAATGTGCCAGGATATTTGCAAAGGAGGGTGCGAAGCTTCTTCAGCGACTGAGCCCTGAAATACGATACAGAGACCATCCCAAAAGAGTACAGAGTCACTGGTGGTGTTCTCCAAGGCTCAGTGCTTGGCTCTTTCTTGTGGAACGTTATGTACGATGGTCTTCTGAAGTTAACTTTACCCAAGAAAGCTACACTCGTCGCGTTTGCGGACGATGTCGCTCTGGTAATTGCTGCAAAGCGCCTAGAGGAGATCAATTATATTTTTAATACTGCATATACAGGATTCGTCAATGGATGGACTTAGTGGGATTGACGTTGGCAGAACATAAGACGGAGGCTGTACTGATCACAAGCCAACAGAATGTTGAAACCATCACGCTGCATGTCGGGAATTATGAAATCACGTCCCAACCATCGCTACGGTACCTGCAAGTGATGATTGATACCCGGCTTAGCTTCAAGCAGCAAGTGGAGTACGTCGGCGCTAAGGCGTCTGGAGTTGGGACCGTCCTTTCATGGCTCATGCCGTACATTGGAGGGCCAAAGCAGAAGAGAAGAACGTTGCTGTCATCAGTTGTCATGTCGGTCCTCATATATGGCATTTCCATTTGGGCTCACGTACTCTTGATCCAGTACGCGCGACGGAAGGTGGCGTCGGTCAATCGATTGAGCGCCCTTGGAGTTGCCAGCGCATTTTGCAGGGTATCAGAAGATGCCGTGTGTGTCATCGCCGGGATGCTCCCGATAGGAATACTTGCCGAGGAACGACGATGTCTTTACCTGCGGAAAAGGTTAACAACACAGAGTGCAGCTGAGCTGAGGACGGACGAGAGGGACAAGAGTCTGCATCGATGGCAGTTGCTGTGAGTATCTCCTTTTTGAATATCTTATACAAGTGTATAAAATGACGAGTTTTTTACAATGCTTAATCAGACGGCAACATGGATACAAGGTGGAAACATCCCTTCACTGCCATGATTTGTGGACCCACAGGTTGTGGGAAAACATTTATTGTTGAAAGATTTTTGAAAGAAATTGAAGAAATGTGTGATACACCGATTGAAAAAGGGATTTTCTATTATGCTGAGTGGCAGAATGGATATTCGGATTATGACAAAAATTTTGTCGAATTTCGAGAGGGTTTACCAAGATCCGGAGATTTTGATGATAATAAACCAAAATTGGTTGTTGTGGACGACTTGATGCGGGAATCATCGAATGGTGCAATAGTCGACTTATTCACAAAAGGCAGTCATCACAAAAATCTCAGTGTTATGTTTATATCTCAAAAATTATTCCACCAAGGAAAAAGACAGCGAGATATTTCATTGAATACAAATTATATTGTCGTATTAAAAAATCCTCGAGATCGTGCACAAATAGCACATTTGGCTCGTCAGATATACCCGAAGGACCCAAAATTTCTACAGCATTTTGACGCCACATAGGCTCATGGATATTTGTTGCTTGATTTAAAACAGTCGACTCCTGAAAACTGCAGATTTCGTACCAATGTATTTCCTAGCGACCCCTATCACTATATTTATATTCCACGGAAGGATTACAATATAAAAGGAGGAGGCTCATTGCGCAGTGTACCAGTCGTTCGTGTGTAATGGCAAAGACAAGTCGCTCTGGAAGCGGCTGTGTTCGCAAGTCGCTCGGAGAAAAGAATACTGCCTTATTACAGGCCCTCATTGAACGCTCCTCCTAGGTTACGATGAGCAATAATAAAACACACTAATAAAGATTTGATTCGCTGCATTTGTGAGTGTGCTCTGAATTTGCTGCACGGAAATATTCCTTTGAAAACTTGCGAAAAGTCAAAATTGTGCAAACATAAAAAACTTTTGAGGAAGTTGGCTGATAAAAATCAGAGTTTATCCAGCAAGAAAAAAATCATCAATCAGAAAGGCGGTGCCTTTTTACTCATGTTATTGGGGCCGCTTATAAGCGTGCTCATCTCAGCAGTTGTATAGCGATGGATCATGCAGGAAAAATGATACTTGTGCCAGAAGATAGTGTGGAACGGCTAAAAAAAAATTCCACACATGATGCTCACCGAGTTTTAACTGCATTAGTTAAAGAAATTCAGCCGTCAGCTCAAACCCCTGGTACCGTTACAAGTTGATTGAATGCTCAATTACTGGAAATTTTTAATTCGAAAAAATCCAAGGACGATTATGAAAAATGGAAATTGTATAATGACATTCTGAGACGCTATTTGTTTTATATACAGCAGAGTAAAGTACCTGTGCAAGAAACGGAGACCCCCGACGAGACGGGGTCTAGCGAACGATACGATCCAAATGGTATTGTGGCTACTCTACCTGCAGTATACCAAAGAAAAGCCTCAGGTATACTTGAATGTATTGACGCCGTTGACACTCAAGTGGGATGCAAAAGGACAAGTAACTTTGGATGGGACATCATTAACTGGCGTTAATATTGTGGATTTGATACAAGATGTGGTCAGAGCACGGAAAACATATTCAGCTAAAGGATGGGAACATTTTGCGATGTATCTTCAAAGTCTAAACACACCTCGAGAGTTTCTGGGCAATCCTAAATTTTATCGACCCCCACCTGCATTACCAGTTATTAAACGTCGAAAAAAACCTGAAATTTCGGAGGACGAGGACTTTATAGATGAGCGTCATACAGGGGAAGATGATATAGCCCGTACCTCTCTTGTACATCGTACGCGTAAAAACTTTAAAAAAGCACACATAAACCCTCCTTACAAAGTGGAGGACTCAGGACTATCATCATGGCTTTCGTTTTAAACGAAGAAAAACTATCGAGGACATATTTTAGCCGTCCAAAGCCGGAGACATATATGGGGGCTAGAAATATGGTGTCAAAGGACAAAAAAAAATACCTGAAAATGAAATAAAAAACTGGCTTAATGCCAGAATACTTATACACTCCACAGACCCATCAGACGTAAATTTCCACGGTTACATTATNAATTGGCTAAACGCACAGAATACTTATACTCTCCATAGACCCATCAGACGTAAATTTCCACGGTTACATTATACAGTGACAAACATTGATGATGTATGGGAGGCTGATTTGGTTGAGTTGAGATCACTAAAGACATACAATGATGGTATTTTATATTTACTTGTGGTCATTGACGTTTTAATCAAGTTTTCCTGGGTTGAACCATTGAAGGACAAGTCGGCACCGCAGGTACTCGAGGGCTTTAAACGTATAATGGGAAGGAGCGGTGATTGTGTGCCTGTTTGTATACAAACTGACAAGGGAAAAGAATTTATGGCTAGCAGTGTCCAAAAATTTTTTTCTGATAAAAAAATTCAATTTCGTGTTGCGCGTAATCCTGACATAAACGCAATCGTGGAACGTTTCAATCCAACATTGAAGGAGCGTATGTGGCATTACTTTACAAATAGTCAAATATATAAATATATGGATGTGTTGGAACAAATTGTCGACTCTTATAACAACTCGAGACATTCGTCAATAAAAATGGCACCTGCGGCTGTTAATATCGATAATGCTCCATATACATGGCGTAATATACAAAATCGGTATAAGTCGGAAAAATCTCGTAAAGAAACCTTTAAATACAAAGTTGGGGACTATGTGCGCATCAGTCGAGCGAAAGGCATCTTTGAGAAAGGATATGAGACTAATTGGAGTAAAGAAATATTCCAAATAACGAAAGCAGTCCTCAAACAATCATTACCAATATACGAGCTGAAAGATTTAGCTGATGAACAAATTGAAGGATTTTTTTACGAGCCAGAGTTGGTGCTTGTCAATAAACAAACGGACAAGGATGAATTCGTAGTTGAACGTGTCATACGCTCTGAAGGAAAAGGAAAAAAACAAATTCTTGTTCCTTACGAGATATATGCTGATGAATTTGATTCGTTGATACCTGCGTCAGAGCTGCACATCATTGGAAAAAAATGGAGAGGAACGAATTTTATATGGTACTCCTAAGCAACAGCAGCATGGACTATCATCCCGATAATACAGCATCAAAATATACAACATTGCTCCCGAAACAAGTTGAGTTGGAAGGAGAATGGGTTGTGGGCCTGAGTGAAATACAGTTTCCTTGTAATTTTTTACATATACGTGATAGGAAAGATGCCTCCATCAACTTTGTTAGTAGCGGAAAAGACAATAAGGGCAAGGCAAATCTACCACAAACATTTTTTCTACCTACTGCGGTTTTCAAGGACCTGACCGATCTCGTAGGTTTCATGAATAACTTTGCACCCTTGAAGGATCATATAAAATTTGAGTATTCTACCCAACAAGGCTTTGTGAAAATTGGAAGACATTGCACCTCCAAAACATGCGGTAGCACGGTACACGCATTAGACTTTTCGGATAAATTGGCTGATATGTTGGGGTTTGAGAGGCGCGTGCACAGTTTCACAAACGCAAAGCCGTATTGTGAGGGATATCTACCTGCCAGTCTGGCCAGGGGTTTACCTGAAAGCTTGTTCATCTATAGTGATCTTTGTGTACCCTATGTAACAGGTGATGTGCAGTCATCTCTTTTACGAGTGGTGCCATTCAATGCTTCTGGTTATACATATGGAGCCACACACTGTGCTACTTTTTCAAATCCTCATTATATTCCGTTGATGAGATACTCATTTCGCACAATTGAAATAGATATAAGGTGCAATCGTGGTGAAATGATACCATTCGAGTACGGACCCTTGAACGTGACACTTCATTTCAAGAGAATTGATTAACGAGCAAAATGAGTCCTTACATTGCATATTACGCGAACCAGGCTGGTGGAGGGTCAGTGGAGAGATACAATAATTTCGGACGAGTCTATGTTGGGAGCCCATATCAACGTTGTTTATTATAATCCTGTGTCTACTTTATCGGACGACGCCCCAATCGAATTCATTGTACCAGGCCATGGAGAAGAATACATCGATTTGGCACACACTATGATAAAAATTCGAGCGAAAATTTTGAGACCCGATGGTACTGCTGCTGTTGAGGATTTCGTCGGTTCTGTGAATAATTTTTTGCATTCAATGTTCAACCAAGTGGATGTATATTTCAATCAAAAAGTTGTTATGCCGCCAAATAACCTCTACGCCTATAGAGCATATATTGAAACGTTGCTAAACTATGTAGAAGATGCCAAGTCCTCGTATCTTGGAATGGCTCTATGGTCAACTGATTCCTCTGGCGCTATGGATACCGCTGCAGTTATGGGCGCTGCTGTGAAAAAAAATACAGGCCTAATCTCTCGACAAGTATTTACGAAAGTTGGAAGACCGTTTGAACTGCTGGGACATTTGCATTGTGACGTTTTCAATCAAAATAAATTTTTGATGAACGGTGTAGAGCTACGTGTTCGTCTTATCCGCGCAAAGGATGAATATTGTCTCATGGACGATACTGCACTTAATTATAAAGTAAATATTGTGGAGGCCTTATTAATTGTTCGACGCGTGAAACTCAGTCCTGGAATATTGATAGCTCACGCTAAAACGATGCCTCGACCAACGGGAGAGGGACTCACCGCCTGATCTTGAAATTGGAAGCATGGGTCAACCGCACACATGGAGAAGTAAACTACTATCTCACACAGATGATCTCGGGACACGAGTGCTTCCGGCAATATCTTCATAAGTTTAAATATGAGGAATCGCCGGAGTCCCCGGTCTGCACAGGAGTTTCCGAAGATGCGGAGCATGTATTCTTCGTATGTCCGCGCTTCAACGTGACCCGCAGCACTCTTGAGACTGCACTCGGAGGGAGGATTCAGCCTGAGAATCTGGTGGAAGCAATGCTTTCATCAGAGGCAGTCTGGTAGGCAACTAGCACCTTCGTAGCGGAAGTCCTAAAGGACC